TGTGTGATTCTCAATGCAACAAGTGATCAACGTTAACTACATTCCTTTGAACAATTTGGTCACCATGGTCACGGTATGGTGTTTCCCAGCCGAGAAATGCGATCGGTTGTGGCGTTTCTTCTCTACAGCAGCATGGACCCGAGAACCTGAAAGCTGTTAAGGAGTTTTGGGGGCTGGCAAAGTGGGTACACCAAGCCATGGCTGCTGAAGAGTCCGGTTTAGCAACACAGGCCATCTTGTGCTACATGTTTGAAATCTAAAACAAAACATTGTTATAGTACTTTTCATATAACTCCATTTACATATAGCTGCACATTCCTTGGTCTCAGGTTGGTCAACCGCCACAGACTCATGCCCACCAGACTCCTGCCAGTTAATTGCCACAACCTTAGCTTGCTCAACTACTACATGCAATCTTTATGCTTGGTTTAATAGCATGTTGGTGTTTAAATTGTAGTTGACTTGTGAACTTCATGAACTTGAATAAGACATAAGCACTATACATCTTTGATTATATGGTGTGTTATTTGTAAATTCCCTATATTGTAGTTGCTCAGAAAACCCACATGTGGCATAGTCTAGGTGGCATTCTCCAATCTAGATGCCAATGAGATGGACATATAGACTATAAAATGATGGGTCATACATGTGGGTCATATATGTAGCATGGATGACCAATACCATATCCCATTGTCTAAGTGTAACTTAGGGTTCTTGAGGAGGAAAGGGTTTTTAATTTCACTAGTGTGGTTGTTGTGGCAGTGAAATTGGTTTGGTTTTTTGGCAGTGCCTAGAGACATCCATAATGAGTAAGTCTTGCTTATAGCTCAAGTTTGTGAAATTGGACTCAAATGTAAATGTTGTAAACATGTGTATAAATTGCGGGGTTGCTATTAGGATTCAATTCCAACACTTTTTCATTTAGCAAGAGTGAAGATGAAGATGGAGATCTTGACATTTCAATGCTGAGTAGATGAATCTTTGAATTGGACAGTCTTCATTATGGTATTTCTTGTAGGGCTTCAATAATTTTGTGAGGTTGAGGGGATTTGCTAGTGCAGTGGCATTTCATATATGGATGCCCTTGAAGATTCTCGAAACAAAAACCAAAGCTTATCTTGCAAATGATTTATATATGTAGTGAAGTAACCTAATGAATTGAAAATACCATATCAACACCAGAAATAGCTCAAAATTCTAAGGGCTCTTCTTCATTTTGAATATGAGGTAATAGTCACTTATGCAGCCACCCTCTAGTTTTTGTAATAGAAGATAGGTTTTGTTGTTAGCCTTATGGTTCCAATTATTTATTGGAAGCTCTAAATACTCTTAAGATTCATAGACTTTTGAGAATAACACTTCTTCTCTTTGGAACCTACTACATATTTTTTTTGGGCCACATAAAGTGGTGAAACTTCAAGGTCAATTTTTTGCAAACTTAGAAAATCCTGTAAATTAATCTTGGCTGTTAGTTTAGATATCTAGAGGGTTTAAGCTATACAAGATTTTAAGTTGTGCAAAATTGCAATGTCATTGTATTCATGTGTAAAGATAATAAAGGGAAGGCATGACAATGGTGATGCTAATACTAATATTGTGGTGGGGAGGCACAAGATGTTATAGATGAGCTTCTAATTATGTAACTTATTTAGACAAGTTTTTGGCCATTTGATAGAATGACAAAGAGGAGGTGTTAAAGATATTCTTGAAGTAAGTAAATGTTAAAGAAAATAGGCAACTGTTAGTTTTAGGGGATGCCACTTAGGCACTAAAGGCATTTTCAACAAACATTTTATCATTTATAATGGTTTCAAAAGCCTCTAGGGCAAGTTAAGCAACTAAAATCATTTAGCTAGCAATAGCGAGAGATAGAGATTATGCTATAGGGTTAAGACAATTACTTGGTGGCTAGAGGATATAAGTTGTGGCTTAAGATGAAACACTAGTGCTCATATAATTTTTATATATTTTTAATTTAGTTGAAGTGAAAGAAGAGTCTCTCATTTAATAGTTTTGGGCATATAGAACTCAAATATTTCCAATAACAATGATATGGTGAAGCATAAAGCTCTAAAATTTCACATTCTTCACTTTTGGAATTTTTATAGGCAAGTACTCTATTCTTTTGTTGCTAAGTTGTGAGCATGTCTAGACTAAAAAGTCAATGTCGAATGTAAATTTCATGTTATGTAGTTTTGTACTAATCTGCATCTAGGAGATGAATATGCATAGTTGACTTTGGGAAAAAGGTAAGTCGTGCATATAACTTAATGAGAATAATAAGTAAAGATATTATATGATTGAAAATTTTATTTAATATATAAAAGTCAATTTCAGAGACAAGCATACTTAGTCATGACTATTTTAATATTTTTTGATAAGGTGGTTAGTGTTTATTGACTTTGGTTAGGTGGTTCTAAACTTTAAAATATTGATAAGAACTTGAGATTTGTTGTGCAACACTTTAATTGTTAACTTGAACACTTCACATGAGTGGATTGTGTAGAGTGCTAATTATTATGAAATGAGGCATGCAATGTAGATTCATGATATAATCATAGTTGTGAGATAGTTAGTGTGATTTTTTACTTTTTAATATATTTCTTTGAACTAATATTAGGTTTGAATATAGGCTGAATAATATTTGAAATTTAAGTGTAAGTTATTCCCAGTCACTATTCATAAAAAACTGAGGCCATTTTACATTAAGGGGATTCAAGAGTTCAATAGTTATTATTACTTACTCTGTATACAACTGAATATGCTTTGTATTGTTGTTTCACACTTAAGTGGGTTTGTTCATGAGGTGAATTATGATTACATCTGTAGTACATGCACAAATCTGGAGCTTCCATGCATAGGTGAAATCTCCAAGTTGACTAAGATAATTGCAAATTTCCTTTGCCATGTGAAGAGAGAAGATTTTGCACCTAAATATCTTCAAAGGGAATGTCAATGTTGCACTTGTAATAAGTTTATTATTTGTCAAAATATCATATTTGCAAATCAAGTGGTGCTTATGGACAAGTTAAATACACAAATAATAAGGGTGTGCTAAAGAAGTGACTATAGTTTATATATCGTGAGGTATTTATGAATTAATTGGTTCAATTTTTTAGGGATAATCTCAACTATTATACTTCTCATTGTCACACATACAAATGGCAAGTAAAACAATTGAAGTTGATATCAAATGATGTTCTAGAAAATTCTATTGTGTCAATTATTGATTTTCCCAATAATTACTCCACTGTTTCTTAGGCACAAACTCAAATACCAACAACAATAACAACAAAAATCCTCAAGCTTAAACCTCAACAACATATGAAAACTTAATTTGAATTTTTTTTCTCATCAAGATTTTTAAACAATCAAGCTCTGAGTTGGAGTCAGTCCACTTTACTTGAAGGGTAAGCTTTTTAAAAAAGAACCAAACAGTATCAAAACACAAACAACAAATAGTACTACTAGTGTTTGCAACATGTAAGTCTAAGGTGGTTAAGTTTAAAAACTCTATTATTAGTAAACTCTATTATTGGTAACAAGATGATATAGGGATTGAATTTGATTATAGAATCCCATTTTTTTTATGGTCTTCCTTGGTCAACTGCTCATATATTTGATTTGACTAAAGGTTGAATTTTAGAAAAATGAGGAGGCAACTGAAATTAAACTAATGACACATCGACTACATCCAACTACAACCAATTGCTCTACCACTAAACTATACCTACTTAGTAATTAAATGTAATAAACTTAATAAAAATTGTTGTATAGGCAATGAGGATCATACTGAATTTGATTATTTGAGCAAAGCTACTGTTATATTTGAGAACTACATTATCTTCTATAAAGACCATTTTCACAAGGTGAAAATAAAGAGGCAATAAGGATTAAATGCTACTGAACTATACATTTTTAATCATTAAATGCAATTAGTTTAACATTAATGTTTTGTGACCTAATAATGTAGTTGGTTTGTTAACAAGTTTGATTTGGGTGATGAAAGGTATGTGATAAGATTTGCTAATGAAATATTTTAAAGAAAGAGGTAATAAATTGAATAGGTGATATGCATAATTACAATTCTTCCTCATGACCAAGAAATTATACTGTTGAGATTAACAAATAGACAAAGGCTTGTTAATATGGACTTGTTAAGTTGGTTGATTGCTGATAGACTAGGATTTTCTTAGTAAAAATATTCAATTTAAATGAGTTTTTAATTATATGCATAAAAAAATTAATAAAAAGAATTATTAAAATTAAAAATTAAGTATCTAGTAGAACATCTGTGGTGGCAGGATGAGAGGTGTCACTTCACATGCATACATCATGGCTATCAATATGGTATTTTACTTTGATATTAATATTATATTTTTATATATCAAAACTTTTGATATAACCAAAAAACTATTCTTCGAAAAATGGAAGAAATTTATTTAAGCTTTTCTTTGTGCCTAAGCCACAATTGAGCTTAAGTTATTTTGGAATTTTTATATTTGCAGAAGCCATAATCAAGTTAACAAATTAAAAGGAGAGCATAACAAACTCCAAGCTACATAAGAGTGTCTTTGATCACCAAACTTTTGGCAATCTTAGATTTGAGCTGGTATGTTCTAATGAAGATACTCTTAGGAAGATTCTTGTATATACTCTTCAAGAAGATTCCCGGAATAAACTATTTCCGTAAAGTAAGGTGGTGAAAAGGCTGGCTGTGAAGAAGCTGAAGCAATGCAGGCAGCAACTGGCCGATCTCCCTGACGACTTGCTTCTTCTCATCCTGAGCAGATTTAACGATGGATTCGAGCAATCCAAACAGCTTCCCAGCTTAAGGCTTGGATTGAAATTCTGGTTTGCTATAGATCCCATGTTCCTCGTCAGTATGGAAACTTTACACTCTCTAGAGCTAGTATCCCCATCACGATGGACCTCTAGGCCTGCAGATGTTAACCAGTTACTCTGTCCATTGCTACAGGTTTGTGAGATAGATTGTATTACAGGCCGCAAAGGGAGATCAACATTACAGGCTATGCTATAGGATGTGTGGGTTCCTTGTTAAGTCTCCAATGCTGGAAACACTAGAGCTTATTAAAGGGACTCGATGATTATCCAGACCTGCGTTACATGCTGGTTAGATCTCTATCAAATAAGAACAGAGCCCGACCTGAGAACAGATCGTCCGCTCTCGAGCCCGGCTCTGTTCTCGGGCTTCTTGTCAAACAACGGGGCTCGCCCTCCGGAGAATCGGAGATTCACGGCTGATCACCGATTTGGGCAGCTCAAAGAAAACCTTGAAAGCAGGGCATATGTGCTCGTGTCTCACCTCCTAGCGGCCGGAATTCAGGTTAGGGTTCTTGGCAGCTGCCATGCTTGCAAGAAAGAAGGCGGAGGCGAAGCGTGTGAAGGCGCGGCTCCGCGATGTGGATTTCGCCAGGCTTCAGGCTCCAGGCCGGTCGCAGACGTTGCCCTTTCCAGGTTTGAGTACCTCCGCCGTAGGCAAGAGGCCACCACGGGAATTTGAGTTTGTGGGTCGTTCGGCGTACTCGGACATCATGAGGCTGGTTATAGAAGAAGACCCACAATCCCCGACTCGGGGCCTGCTCATTACTGGTGCCAGGGGGAAAGGAAAGAGTTGCATGTTGCGAGCGGTTGCAGTGGAGCTTGTTGGACGCTCTCAACGAGCAATATGCTTTTGGTACCTGGACGCTTGTCAGGACGTGCTGCGCCAAGTTCAGGACTCTCTTCTGTTTGCATACAGTGACAGTGAGGAAGCGCTTGCAGAGATTGAACGCGTCAGCTCTGTGGAGTCGTTGTCTGGCTTTCTCGAGGGCAGAAAGGCGGCTGGGGATTTTATTTTCTTTGTGAGTGATGATGAGGAGAACTACGATGATCAACACAAGGATGGTACTTCACGCAGGCGAGCTGAGGCGAAGAAGTGGCTGGAAGCTTTGCAAAGAGGGTGCGACGTTGTAATCAAGACCTTGTCGCCTGAAGCTCATGACGTGAGAGTGGGCGCAAGCCAGATGGAAGAGTACGAGCTGAAAGATAACTTTGGCGAGGTAAGCCTCATTCCCTTTTGTTTTTTCCGGGTGCTTTTTTATTGAATTATCCGCGCTACAGGAGGAGTATTCTTCGTTCATAAGAGGAACCACCACCGTCCTTGGAGGGATGCTCAAGAACCATCCGGACCGTGAGGAGGATGTTCTCTTGTTTGCTGGAAAGCACCCCATGTCCTTGTTCTACCTCAGCAGTGCGTGTGACGAGTATGTACGAGACATCACCGGTATCTCCTGTTCAAGGAAAAGGCCCAGGCTTAAAAGTTTTGGGATGATAGATGTCCAAACGGGTGAAACGCGAGTGTACGAAGATCCTGGGAAGATGGAACTAGAGGGTTTCCTAGATGATGAGCAGGCGTGGCAGGCGGTGCTGCTGAAGTTTAAGCAGGGAGAACCATTCAAATCCATACGGAAGTACATCAAGGATTACAGGGGCCCGGAGGAATCTTTACGTGATCCTGCATCGGTGTCCAAGAGTTTTGTCAGCGGAGATGGTAGTTTCTGCACCGACTTCATCTATGCAGTCCATTTAGAGGCAGCTTTGGAGCGCTTGAAGGGCTTGGTTTTCCGTTCACCGACATTCCAGGCCATTGTGCAGGGTAAACTCGATGACCCGGACATCATCTGGTCCCATATCGGATGGGCCTGCGAGGGGTTTGTAGCAGAGGCTATCATGGCGGTGGGGCTGAAATTCAAGCAGCGTGTGCGTCGTCCAGTGGAGCTGAAGAGTCTAAACGGTGAACCCGTGCGGTTAGATCCAAGCCAGTGGGAGCCTTTCAAGCCTGTGTACCTGAAACCAGGCAGGTACTCTTTCAAGTACATTGACGGGGTTATCGCGTGGGTTGACGAGAAAGGGGTGTTGCATTTCTTAGCGCTTCAGGTGACGGTCAGCCCGGAGGGACACACCAAAACGGAGTATCAGTTCATGCAACGAGCACAAGTGGAACGCTGGTACACTGGACCCTGCATCTGGTACTATGTTTACCTCTGCCCTGTGAAGGTAGAATCGTTGGAGGAGTCCCGGAAGGCTTCTTCTTCCAGAGGAGGTTCATCGCCCACGTCCAGCAGGCCGGTTCAGTCACAAGAGACGTTGGTGGAGTACCAGAGGGAACAGCTCCAGTTTGATCAGTGCTTTGACCAAAATCTGGGACAGGAGGAAGTGTTGCTCCTCCGGAAGCTCGGGGAAGTCAGGGAGAGGGAAATGGAACGGAGGAAGAAGGCCAAAGCCATGCAAGAGCACAGCTATCGCCAACTTCTAAAGAGCTTGCCTCCTCGGAAATGGGCACTCTACAAGAGACTGAAGACGAGAGAATTGCTGGAAGTGGAGGCCAAGAAATGCGGCATCAGTGACCCCTCCCCCAAGAACTACAAGAACATCTACGTCTTGCTTTCAGCCATGGACGTTTAAATTAGTTTCTCAGGATTTTGGGATTTAACCTGGGACTATTTGGAGCTTCCAGAAGATGTCCATCATCGTCCAGTCTCCTGTCTGGACGATGACGACAGGATCTATCTTCTAACTAGAGGGTGGCGGCCCGGACTTAAATCAGATTCAAGAGCCCCTGGAAGAGCCCTTTCTGGTGCCTATCTGGTATTTTCAATTCATCCGGCTGCACATCTTAACCGTTCTAATCTGGTAGTCTTGGGAGGAAAGCTTGTCATGGTGCGGCCGGACAGTATTTTCGTTTTGATCAGTAGATGTTTGTGTGTTTTTCCTTTCTAGTTTGGTTTCCAACAATCTTTTTCCTTTTTCCAGCAATCGTTGAGTACGAGTCCAGGCTTCCACTTTTTGCATAGAGAAGTGTATGATTCTCAATGCAACAAGTTAACTTTTTGATCAACGTTAAGTACATTCCTTTGAACAATTTGGTCACCATGGTCACGCTATGGTTCATTGGCTCCCTGTTTCCCATGGCGTTTCTTCTCTATGTCTCAGCAGCATGGACCGGAGAACCTGAAGGATGTTGAGGAGTTTTGGGGGCTGGCAAAGTGGGTACTGGACCAAGCCATGGCTGCTGAGGAGTCCGGTTTAGCAACGCAGGCCATCTTGTGCTACATATTTGAAATTTAAAACAAAACGTTGTTATAGTACTTTACATATAACTCCATTTACATATAGCTCCACATTATCCATCATCCTTGCTCTCAGGTTGGTCAACCGCCACAGACTCATGCCAGTTAATTGCCACAACCTCAGCTTGCTCAACTATTACATGCAGTCTTCATGCTTAGTTTAATGGGTGGAGCATGCTTTGGTGTTTAAGTTGTAGTTGACTTGTGAACTTCATGAACTTGAATAACAAACATTAACATAAGCAATATACATCTTTGATTGTATAGTGTGATATTTGTAAGTTCCCTATATTGTACTTGCACAGGAAACCCACAGGAAACCCACGTGTGGCATAGTCCAATTTAGATGTCAATGAGATGGGCATATATGTGGTACATGGCTATAAAATGATGAGTCATACATGTGGGTCATATATATGGCACAACATCCCATTCATCATCAAGTGTGACTTAGGGTTGTTGAGGAGGAAAGGATTTTTGGAGTTATGTCATTCAATTTTAATAGTGTGGTTGTTGTGGTAGTGAAATTGGTTTGGTTTTTTGGTGGTGATTAGAGATATCCATAATGAGTGAGTAAGTTTTGCCTATAGCTTAGATTCATGAAATTGAACTTAAATGCAAATATTGCAAACATATGTATTACAAACAAAGTGTGGGGTTGCTATTAGGCTTTAATTCTAACACTTCTTCAACTAATGAAAGTGAAGATGAAGATGAATGAGTAGATGAATTTTTAAATTGAAGAGTCTTTATTAAAGTACTTCTTGTAGGGCTTCAATAACTTTTTGAGGTTGAGGGGATTTGCTATTGTACTGGCATTTCTTGTATGGATGCACTTGAAAATTCTTGAAACAAAAACCATGGCTTATCTTGCAAATTATTTGGGAATTATATGGCCAACACTATACAAATATATACAAATGGTGGATACAAATTGGAGGGGGGTGTACCATAGGATACCAACAGACGAAGTTTTTAACCATATTTGGACTAATATTCCTATGAATTGTGTAAGGACAAATTAGAGAATTATTAACTCCCACTCTTGTTGTTGAGCAACTAATTATCATTTTAGTAGGCATTAAATTTATGAGGTTTTAGCTTTACAAGAAGGTTGTAAAGTATGCATTTGTCATGAATTTATCGACAGATCTATACCAATAAAACACCTTATACACTATGCAATATGGATTATAAGTGTCTTTCTTCCTTTTCCAACCATTATTTTTGTGTTTTTATAGCATATTACAAACTTGTAACTTACAAATTTTACATCTATGCCATGATATGTGGGGCAACACATTTTATTGTGGCCTGTGAGGTATCTACAAGTAAAGAAGCCTATACTATTTTCAACACATATGTATGGGTTGTATGTCACTTTGGGAGGCCAAAATGAATAAGGAGTGGTAATGCTCCAAAATATAATGGCGTGAAGGCTGATATGATCTAGTGTTGGGGAGTAGATATAAGAAACTTTAGATATAGAACATAGATAGGTAGTTTTATGTTTATTTGAAATTTACCTTTCTAGGAGTTTTTTATTAAAATGCATTAAGTATTTATGGTGAGAATTGTACAAGTGAGTGGTGCGGTTTTACAAGCATTTTTTTGAGTCTATTGAGGATATTGGTATTCTTGATATAAGTAATGCATAACATAGATAAAGCTTACAAAGTGTATTTTCGCTTTATTTTGTAAAAAGATATTGTTGATTGTGTTGCAATATGGAATCTACACAAGGTTCGTCCTTTTAGATGTGATAAATACTTCAAAACATCCCATATCCCTATTAATTTATTCTAATAGATGGAGTTGTAAACAATTAATTTTTCCATTCTACTTTAGTCACTTAACCACACCTTCGGCCACTTGAAGGAGTCTCACTCACAACCTCCGTAAGTCTTATTCTGGACTTAGGGTTTGTTATCCCCGAGAATGGCATCTATGCCACTCCACCTTTGCATTTGGTCCAAGTGCTTCACTTGAAGGAGTCTCACTCACAACCTCCTCACAACCTCCGTAAGTCTTATTCTGGACTTGGGGTTTGTTATCCCCGAGAATGGCATCTATGCCACTCCACTTTTGCACTTGGTCCAAGTGCTTCATGTGTCCAATCCCATGACTAACACCCCAAGGTTCCACTGACATAACAGCCTGTTACGCTATGCCCATTCATCTTGGTCACACTAGTGGTATAATACCACCTGCACCATAATCCTATCTCTTAAAGACTGGGCCATCCGTCCATGAGTGATCATCCTAGATCTACTCCTTAGCACCCTTAGTGTGTCTGTAAACATGGAGAACAGCCTTCCCCAATATCCCTTTTTCGGTCCCCACCAAGTCCCTTTTCGACCATAGCCGTGTTCTCCAACACTACCACTGGATTAAGGCCCTGTAAGCTCTTGAGTTTGGACTTCCCAGGAGGTCACCCAGCCTAGTACTACTTAATCCTGTAAGCTCTTGAGTTTGGACTTCCCAGGAGGTCACCCAGCCTAGTACTATTCAAACCCAATAACGCTTAACTCCAAAATATCCCAAAACCCTTAATCGATTGGAAAAGGGGGTGCACTCTTATTCACGGGCCCTTTCCCTCTATATTTGAACCCCATGGATCGTCTCTCGAGTCATTCCCTTTGGTTGCTTACAATCCACCACGCTTCCCTGCAAGTTCACGCCTTCGTGAACGGAAGCTGAGAGCCGCAGCTCTCCCGAGAGCCCCGCTCTCTTGACACCCTACCCCTCGGGTCGAGCCTAGCGGGAGCAAACTGGACCAGCCAGATGTCAATCAACATGTGGTGTGATTCTTCTAGCCAACCAACAAAGTCGGACTCGAGACCTCTTTAATACCAAATGTAAGCTTTTGAGTTTGGACTTCCCGGGAGGTCACCCAGCCCAGTACTATTCAAACCCAAGGACGCTTAACTCTAAAATATCCCAAGACCCTTAACCGATTGGAAAAGGGGGTGCACTCTTATTCATGGGCCCTTTCCCTCTATATTTGAACCCCATGGATCGTCTCTCGAGTCATTCCCTTTGGTTGCTTACAGGCCCATAGGCCCAACCACCAAGTCCCACGGTCCTTTAGGACTTCCTTACCATGCAATCGTATCCTTGGTCACTACACTAAAGGACTGCTCCTCTTCTTTTCCATAGTCTAGGATTTTGGGACAACATTTTAGAACACTGCAAACTTACACGAGCCTCTTGTGTACTCTCCCCACCCTCTACCTTTGGGTGCTCTAGCCATGGGCTTAGAGTGAGGTTCCGTTGAGCCACGCCAAGTATCCAAGTAGGTAGTGCCACCCACACTTGGGCTGGCAGCATCGGCAATTCGATTTCCCAGGGGAACTAAAGCCGATTTTTGAACACTTCACTAAACTACTCTGCTTGTCAATGTGTGTTCACTCTAGCCTTGGACTTTTTAATGGTTATCCCATCACCCAACACCTAGGTATAGCCTTCCTGGGCCAAATTGACCTTTTCTAGCTAAATTCACTCCACTGGAGTCCTCCCTATAGCACACCTTATCTGTCTCCCCTTAAACCAACTGGAAAAGGGGCAATTGCTTGATGAGAGAGCCCTTAGTAGCTATTTTATCCTTATTTATCCCGTAAGGTTTTAAGGATCCACGGTGACAATATATCTAAATCTCATCCCATGATCACATGCGCTACACTCACCCCCCCTTCAGAGAGGACAATCTGGTATTTTATGTCAGCCAGTTGAAAGGTGTACTATCTCAGAGTGACGGGTCCAATGCCTCCTTGATGTATACGGCTGTGGAAGATGGACTAGGAGCTTCCCCAGAAAGGGTGATCACCAGTACAACTCGTCCTTGGGACAAGGACTTTGTTGGGGGGGAAGAATTGTTAGGCGCTAGCTTTGACTACGTGGTCAACATCGGTCAAAGGGAGGCTCAAGGGTATATTAAGGCATGTTAGGGTAAGGGACTTAACCTACCCTAGGGCTCACAATGGAGCGGCGGCGCAGTGAAGCTTTTGAGGTAGCTCGGGGGTGGTTCATGATGAGTTGTCATCGCTCCCACTATCCAGTAAAATCCGCACTGGATCACCATGGAACACGCCCGCCAGCATTAAAGCGGATTCACGCGTATCCTCGAGCTCCATCTTGTTCCACACACAGTTGAGCTGACGAGCAACGATCGAAAGTCGCTTCCTCCGACCGGAATGGTCGTTCTCCTCATCCTCACGCTGCAAAGTTTGCAACTTTTTAGTATCGGACTTACCGTGAGAAGAAGATTGGCCATTCTTCTTGTCCTGCTGCTTGTTCTTCAACTGCAGACAATCAGCCTTGTAGTGTCCAAGTTCGCCGCAATGATGACAACCCTGTCTATAATTCTTGACAAAGAACTTCTGCTTTTTGGACCCCTTTGCATCTGAGGTAGTCACCACTGACTTCAACTTGTGATGCTTGTTCCCATCCTTGTGTCCACAGTGATCATCACGACGATTCTCGGCAGAAGGACTCTGCAAACGCTTGCGAGACTTGTGCCTAACTTGGAGCGCTACCCCGTCCAGCCTCGAGTGCCTCAA